GAGAGACATATCTAAACCAGCAAAGTAAGTCTTGAAAAGGAGAGAGAAAGTGGTTTGGAAGTGGGCAAGTTTCATTAGGTAAATAAATATGTGCTTCTTCATAGTTGTCATCATTATCTTTTTTGTTAAGAATTGAAATTTTGATATATTGAGGTGAATAGTATAAAGAAAATTCATTGAAGATGTAATATAAAAAGGTGTGAATTGTTTGTAGATATACAAGTGGAGGTAGTTTATAATAAAAGAGAAATTTATTGTAGCATGTAAGAAGGTTTATAGTTCTAAGCATTTCTATTACTTAAGTAATTGTTTTATGTGAGAAGTGGTTTGGTATATGGTAATCTTCACTATTATATTCTTATTCCGATATTACTTCGTTTGATGAGTATGATGTGTCAGAAAGTTGATTGTTGTTGGTGTTTAGTGTAGTAGGTAGATCATAGGGGGTTAAAGTTGTTGAAGATGATACCACCAGGGAATTGTCTTTTGCATGAGTCACCATATACTCGGCTCGCATAGTTCTGCAAAAGTTAGCAACAATCAGGTTAGATATTAGAGAGTTGTTTAATCCTAACTCTTCCAAGTACAAGTTTAATTTATGTAGTTTGAAGAAAAGAAATATAATTATATGATTAAACACTCAGCTTAAGTTAGGGTTAGTGTTAGGGTTTAAAATTAAATTATTATTAGATTTTTAATAATATTTAAACACTTTGCATTTATTCTTTTTACACTATTTTCTTTAAATTAATAACAACCATAGTTATTCTATCATTGCTCATAGCTGAAATATAATATAACTTGCTTTACTGTTGTTAATTTAATTATGAAAATAATAACTATGTTGTAGATCTGCAGTTTAAGCATTTATATTAATAGTTAATTGCTTTCACATTAGCAAAATAGACCAATTTAGAATAATTTGGGACAATTTAGAAATTTCTAGAACACTAAAAACAAGTCTTTTATTTTTAGGATAATTTGAAAACCAACTTACTCTCAGCTATAAAAATAGCCTTTACTAAATAGTAAAAAAAAATCAAAATCTTTTACTATAAACTTTGCTAATCAATAATTATCTATTTGCAAAACCAGTAAATTTACTATATTTGTCTTAATTTTAAAAATTATTTTAAACAATAAACACTAGCGAAGTGTTATCCTATGTTATTATATGTTATTATAGCATTACAGTATTTTAACATATTACTGCAATCAGTGTTAGAATTGGTCTTATTTAAATTGGTTTAATTAGATTTATTAGATAACTGAACAAATTGAATAATTTGGACAATTGAATATAGTTTAATTACATATTTAGACTAAGACATTTAATTAGCCAATCAAATTGCAAATTTTTATCGATAATATATATTGTATATTATACTAAATTCTTTTTTGAATTGAACCAAGTCCAATTGTATTTGGACTCATTGGTACTACTTTACAGAACTTTTCAATTTTTTTTTTTTTTTTTTTTTTTTTTTTTTTAATTCGGCAGTCTTGCCTTAACTGTTTATTAGTACTCTAAGGTATTGTGGTTACAAACATACGTATATATATTTACAACTATCTAATCATTACAGATAAGACTTACTTGGTTACTAACTTAATATCTATGTGTGACCTGCTATATAAGATTTTACCTCTTTAATAACTGCCTTGCAATTAGACCAATTACTAAATCACCGAATGGTTTCCAAACCTATATTTATCATATATATCCTGCTTATATACTACTGTACAATGTCTACCAACCAACTTCTACCTCTTAGTACTTATCACATTACTTCTAATTCATTTCTTGCACTACTTCCAAATTGGTGTCTTTTGAGTGGGTGCCCTTGGTGCTTCTAGTTTGGTGTCTCTGGAGCTACTTTAAGGACCTAATCTATATCTCAAGCCAGGTGCTGCCAGGTCATAAGACTCGTATCTCAAGCCACCTGCTGCCATATTAGGGTGTTATTTTACATCGATCCAGGTATTCGTGTTATACACCACCAAATTAGGCTATCGATCCTTCTATAGTACACCCTATTGGTATAGTGATATAGAGGTCTGGATCCTTAGGGCGGGAGTTAAATATCTCATTTAACTACTGTTACAATCCAGTAACCCGGGCCTGCACCTCTGTTGTGTTTTGTCATAGACTCCCATATAGGTTGTGCAACTATTACTTCCTAGTCTGTCTTTATTTTTATACTACCAAATCGTCTGCTTCCATACTTTCGGGGTTTCTTTAGCCGGTTTTTCTTGTTTTCTTGTACCAGAGGTGTTCTATATTTAGTAAAGCCATTCTCTTACCAAAGCTCCTTACTATGTTCACTGCTTCTTTCACCACTTCTGGATATACCGAATTTAGCCGTCCTCCCAATCAAGATCCCAATACCACCTTAGGGTTGTGGTGCTATTTTGTCAATCGTGGATTCACACGCACAGCCTTCTGCAGTAATACCTTCCATGACCCATGTCACACATAGTGCCCAGTCTTCTCCATGGCTCAGGGCTCCTTCCAAGAATTCTTTATTGGCTATATATGTATATCACATAGTCTTACTGCCACAAGGTTTTACATTCGAAAGCTCTCGAAGGTTATAGAGATAATTAATTAAATTAATTGTTGCAGCTGATGCTGAAAACAGCTAATGCTGAAATTTGGGGTCTCTATTTAAATCTATAATACCCATATATACTTTTTTATTAATAAAACTACCCTACTAACCCTAATCTAACTATGAAAAAAAAGTGTAAAAAAAAGGCCCGAAAATTTTTTATAATTTTATAATAAAATATGAAAAAATTTCAGCATCAGCTATAATATTGATTTTTGATTATTTATACAAAAATTATGAGAATAGTTTATTTTTGGATATAATTGATTTTTTATTATTTTTAGCTATTTTTTATTAAATACAAGTAGTTGCTATATATAAAAGTCACTTAATACAAATTGTTCAAAAAGTAAAAATACATATATTCTAAAAGTTTCACCCAAATTGAAGAACTTTTTATTTTGTATTTTATATTTTAATGTATAATACAAAAACATCTTAATAAAAAGTTTTTCAATTTGTATAAAACTTTTAGAATATGTATATTTTTATCTTCTAAACAATCTGTATTAAGTACTTACTTAGTAGAATTTTGACAATATATAGTAACTATTTAAAATTATAGAAAATTATTGAGGTAGCTTATTTTTGAGATTAAAACATTTTTAAGATTTTTCTTCAAAAGGGTAGTAGTTTATTTTTGAAAGTAGCTTATTTTTAAAAGCATATAGTATTTAATCTATTTACAAATTTATATAACAATACTATCACTTTTGGTAAAATTAATATAATATTTGTTAGTAATCTTTTCCAACTTTTTTTTATTTCCAGTTAACTAATATTTAAATTATCAGTTTCAAACTTTTAGAAAGTTTAAATAGGCAAAATTTTTATAAAAAGCCAAAATTTATTATACCAATATTATTTTTAGTTTATAGATCATTCTGTAAATATACTTCTTCATATAACTTATATCATAGGCTTTAAAAAAAATGCCTAGTAAATAAACAAAATAATTTGTAATTTATTTTTTGTCCTAACAGATTTTTACTCTTGTAAGCAGTTAATAATATAGATCCTATACCCTGGGATATAATACATATCAACTGAATATTTAAACAAAAAACAAACATACTTTTATTTATTTATTTATAGCCAAGCTCTTGTATTATATACCTTAACAACTTTTAATTGCTTATAGTATATGTAATAGCACTATTAGTATAATTACTAATATAAATCTTAAAAATCAGTCTGTTCAAACTATATTCTTTATTAAAGAATCTATAATAGATATTAATGTTTTTAAACACATGTATTATTTTCAAATCCATGAATATTATTATCACTATATTTAATTCCTTATACAGAACTGTTTTGCACTTATAGTTCATAAGACACAGAGTTTAACTTTGCCAAAAGTAACTCTAGTATTAGATAAAAATATCCTTTCACCTGGTTAAGCCTATGTACTCTCAGTAGATATCCTGCCTGGAATAATATCAAAATATCTCACCTTGATGAAATTGTATTTGTTGCTAATAAAGATGTAGTATTAGAGTATCAAAGATTAAAAAATATTGCCAGAATGCATTCTAATATTCATTACACCTAATTCTGCCAAGCTAATCACTCTGAATATAAAAATAAATTTGCATTTGACACTTATGCTAATAAATATCACCCAGGGATGGGTAATTTTGTAATTTTTTATCTAATTATAAAAAAAAACAGTTCTATGAGTTAGACTGTATATGAACCATGAGATTTCTATTAAATAAATGCAAATGTTTTTAAAAACCTAAACTGCTCATTATAAATACAAAGTACGTATGTATATACTTTAGAATTTACCTTGCTACATTATAACACTTAGTTGCGTACTAAACCTGGCACTATAGGTTTTAAAATTGGCAAAATGTAACAGACCAGAGTATATGACCTTTTTTTATTACGTATGTTAAAATATCAGATTACTGTTACTGTATTACGTCCGTACACACTATCTGATTGGTTTAACAAACTGAAAATCCGCCTGATATAATTAGATTCGCTACGTAGTGACTTTTTATATACTTTATATATATATAAATATATATACAGTATAAAATATTATTACAAGAATTAATAACCAATCAGATGAATTTTTGTTACAATAAGTATTTCGGTACCCATGGGTACTAGAAAAAAATACTAGCTAGTTTTTTCCAAAAATTTAATATATAATATATATAATCGATTTTATATTATTTGTATAACAAAATATTGTATCTAATCTATATACAGTATACGTATGTTTTTTAACATAACGTATCCAAAAATTAAACTTCTATTAATAGTACATTCACTATATAAATATTATGTACCGCCGATATCATATAACAAATAATTGTGTCCTTAACCCTTAAACCATTTTTTTAAAAAAAATTGCACTTCCTACGTACGTACATGAGTAACGCACAACAAAAAGAGAAAATCAGTAGGGTTATTCATGGTAAAATTTAAATCAATATGAATTAGGTAAATTTACCTCCGTCTTTAAGATAAAATTTTGTTTATCAAAATTTAAATTTCAGATACGTACGTATATGTAGCTTAATTGCCTAAAATAACGATTTCTAGAAAAGGATAAACCTTCTGAATTACTATATAACGATAAATAAATAACTTACAAAAATATTTTTATCATGTGGTCTTTGATGTTCAAAAAATCACCCGATAGCGATAGCTAAAATTGGAGGTTGGCTAAAGCGGAGAGTTGAAAAATTATCTAATTTTAACGATTAATATTAGGGCTAGGACCGTTTTAGGGTTAAATGTAAGAGACCCTCCAGGTAAAAGTGCTCCCCAATATATATATATATTTATGGTGTTTAGACCGTTTCTTGTACGTACGTTCTTTTCTCATTTTCCGTTTGCTTTGTCGGGTTGTCCAAATTAGTCAAATTTTCAATTCGCCTATCTCTAAATTTGGTCTAATTTATATTTGGGAATTACCACATTTGAAGAATACATCATTTGACAAATGAGTGCTGCCAAGTGCCGTAATCTGTAACGCTAAAAACAATTTTTTATTATTCGAATCGTATCATTAAGACGATTCGAATAATATTAAAAATCTCACTTGATTCTAAAAAACAAAAAGCATGACAAAGATTTTCTCTCGGCGTCACTTAAATGCAACCTAAAACGTTAATGTTACGTAATTTTCTGTAAAGATCACGTGGCTGATGGATTTTGACTGTTTGTAATACAAAATAGTGGTAAGGTTTAATAAAATCAATTGATGGTAGTATTTTAATTCTATTCTTGATAAAGAATCTTTTATCCTTTAAATATATTTTAACGATTTGAATTAACGTAAATTGATCTCAAATTCCAATTTTCTGATTGTCATTTATAGCAATTTTTGAAGATACCCAATTTGATTAAATTTTTTTGGTATCATATTAAAAACCTTTTGCCATAAGAAAATAATGACACGTTTTTGTATTCTGAAATTTCTTTTTGGATTTTTTATTATAATAACTATAAAGAGTGGGTTTTTTATATACCGCAGTATTGCATTTATGCGATTGCATAATTATAATTTTAAAAAAACTTTACTGACCTGCATTGACTAAACATTTATTTAGTTAATGCTCAACAAACAGGAACCTATAGACCGGTAATAACGTTATATTCAACTACAACAATTCTTCCTAGTGAAACAGCAACAGTACAAAGTACACCATACTCAACACCCACAAGTGTATCATCAAATCAGCTGGATGGAGCATCTAGAATTGGAATTATTTGCGCAGCAGCATTAGGAATATTTATTCTTTTTATCATATCAGTGATTACTGTCAGATACATACGACGTCACCGACGGCGTGATCGTCGTCGATATGGTAAGCTTTAATACATAAATTATATATATAATATTGATAAAACAAATTAAATTCATAACACACATTATGATAATGGATTTACCTAAAAAGGGACGAACAGCTCAAAAGTAGATGTAAGTGAATTTCCAGAAGAAGAAAATCCTACAGGTCACGGAGATCCACGGAAGAGTATAAGCACTGGACCAGCATCAATATATAGTCAAATGCAATCAGGACAAATATATTCTAGACCAATAAATGATCCAATACAACCAGTACCAATATATAACCAAATGCAACCAGCACCAATATATAATCAAATGCAACCAGCACCAACTTATAATCAAATGCAACCAGCACCAACTTATAATCAAATGCAACCAGCACCAACTTATAATCAAATGCAGCCAGTACCAATCTATAATCAAATGCAACAAAGAGTAGGATTAGAACCAATATATAGTCAAATGCAACCACAATATTATGAAGATAATATACTGAGGATTACAAGTGAAGAAGATGGTCGAAAAGAGGGATCAAAGAGTTATGACCTAGCCGAAGAGGACATCTTAAGAGTGCCTAGTGAAAAGGAAATAAGGGAATCAAAGCGATTAGAAACCTCGAGAACGAGTTCAGGAAAAGAAAATTCGGGAGAGTCGCGTCAATCTTATCAGACTTTGACGTTTCCCGGAAATACAGAAATTAATACCAATCTTAAGGATATGCAATAAATCAATTACGTACGTATATGTATAATTAGAAATTTACAGTATTTTAATTAAGTTTTAAACAACACATGTTGCATTGTACTTTTAGGAATGTAATTTAAAATATGACAACATTAATGCATCATTAATTCATGCATAATAGATAATAAAATTTTGATAGTTACACGTACGTTGTGAGCGGGTAAATGAACCCTACTAGTTCTAATTTAGGGTTATGGTCAGTAATAGTCCCGAATTATTG